AGATTAATATGAGCTGCAAGTCTCCTAAATAAATAACATAATAAGTATACTGTGGACATAGGAATTCTCTAGATAACTAGTCAAATCTGTATTTGCTGTGAATTGAATAAATAAAAACTCTGTAGCCTTTTCTGTCCTATGCTTCTTTTCTGTCCTACTATACATTGGCTTGAGTTGAAACCAACCCATAGCTGATGCTCCCGTGAGTTTTCAGAAACTGTAAAACACATGAGAGAAAACTGCCCAGCTTTCCTCTGCAGAGCAGCTGGTAGACCCAAAGTACTACAACTCCTTGCCCACCAGGCCACCAGAGTTGTGTCCTATAAAAAGATTGCATTATTTTTCTTAAAAATGCATGCAGCAGATCACAAAGGCTTCAGGGATTAATGCATAGTACCTGTTACTACATGAAAAGCAGTAGTGCATTTTAAGAGTGAAATGAACTTTTACACTCTCTCTATTTTAAAAGTTAAATGAACATACAATGCTTTATCTTAAGCAAATTACTAATTCAGGCTTCTACCACTTTTTATATTGAAGTCCATTACTTTCTACATCTCATGTTACTTTCCAATCTTCACGTATAAAAAAACTACAAATCCACAATTCTTCAAAATTAGTCACCTATCTTAAGAAAAAAGTGAAATTATGAATATTTCCTCAGCTAGACTGTACCTAATTTTATAGCATTACTAAAAATTCTTATAGTATCCTACAGACTATAAAAGTAATACACTCCTTATATTCACCAACACAGAGAGAAGTCAGAAAACTACAGAGCACTGAAAGGCAGGGTGTGTGGAAGGTCCAGAGGATGGGGGAGGGCTTCATGAGGTTCTAGGCAAGCCCTTTGATGACGTCATCCCACATACATAATGCTACAGCAGTCAGCACAGGCCTCCTGCTCTCCCATTGGTGAACACTGTGTCAGCAGACATCAGAAGATAATCATCATTGGCCAGACGCTTACAACTGGAACTAGCATTCACTGCTGTTAACACAGACCTGGCAGGCTGCTAAAGGAGAAAGCAGAGCCTAGCTTCCCTTCTCACTCAATGAATTTTCTGTCCGCTACCAATCACTAAGCAATTTCACTCCCTTGCAAGCAGCACTTAAAACAGGTAAAGGCCAGACATGTCAAAAAAGAACAACGTGTCCCTATCCTCAACGTTGTAAAACCAAAAGGGCTTTTCAGGGTAAAATTGGACCTAAAAGCTGATATTTTCCTCTACCTCAGAAAATAAACTGTCTTATACCGGAAAATATTATAGAGGGATATTTTTAACTTGACATGTTTAAGGCTATTCTTGCCCTAGACAATACATTACTTCTTTGACTTTCAATTGCTACTCTATATGGATTTACTAAAAGCATTGTAGAATTTATATCTAAGACAGTATGAATATAAGGTTAATTACTCATTAAGACAGCAATGAACTAGATAAATCTGCTTCATTTTAATTCCATTCCCAAGAAAGGAGGTTCTTCTTTTTCCTCTTTTTTTAAATTTAATTAGTTTTAATGAAAGTTTACAGAGACCTAGGGTTTCCAGTCATTGCGGCACTTTTCTCCCCACCCGCCCAAGGAGGTTCCTTTCTATGAAAACTTCCTAAGGTGATGAATTGCTATGAACTGCCAAAAGAACAAACAAGTCCGTTTGAAAGCAAGTGCATGCAGGGTGTTCCCTAGAGCGAAGGATGGTGAAACTTTGTCTCACATACTTTGGGCATGTTAAGGAGTAGACAGTCCTTGGAAAAATACATCATTCTGGGAAATGTAGAGAGGTTCCAAGAAGAAGACCCTCAACAGACTTGACACAGTGACTGGAAAAATGGGCTGGACCATATCTGAGATGGTGAGGAAGATGCAGGATAGGGCAAGGTTGAGATCTGTTGTCCATAGGGAATGCTATGAATTGTAGACTCAAAAGCACCTAACAAGAACAAGGTAATGGACTATAGCATGTTTCATAAAATACCTTTCTTTTAGGTTCCCTTAAATTATGACAGTAGGCATCAACAATATACTGACAAAGCATCATTCCTCCTTTGATTCTTCAAAAGCCAGTGTAATTCATTTTTAAGATATGCTGACTCTAAAAATTTTTTAAGCTAAGTCTAAGATGAACAGCTGCCAATAGATTCTAAAAGTCAGAGGCTTCACAAGTTGTTTTCCCCACATAAAAATTATCTCAAATCATTTTATGTTTTAAGTTAATATGTCTATGGAGAAGATAACATTGTGTGGTTTCTAAACTTTCCTTCCCAAAAGTCAAGGTCTAAGCCTTGGTTTAGAGTTCCCTTCTGTCTGTAGAGATAAAGAAAACGTACATTTTTTTTAATATACGTGGCTTACGGCTTATTGCTACTGAATTTTCTTGTTTGTTTGGAGCAGGTTATAAAATGGGGGAGGGGTCCCCAGGTTATTGTGGTTAAAAAAAGAATTCGGTTCAGCTAGATTTGCAAGAAAAAGCTAACCACTACCAGGGTTAATATGTTGTTACTATGCAAGCCAAGAAGAAGAAAACGAAGTCAATACAGAAGCTGGGAAAAGCAAAACCCCAGGATATGACTAGGAAAAGGAATTCAAAATTCAGGGAAGTTGAAATATGTTAAGCCTCAAGTACGATTTGATAGTGCTATCCAGACTGGGAATTAATTCACAAGACAGACATTTTCCTAAGCACCAGTCATGCCCAAGATACAAGAATAGATGTTGTGAGGCACCAAAGGTGGAGAGATAAGTAATCAAATATATGTAAAAAGCCAAGAAAAGATATTGCCAGAGAAAAGTGTACATAAAGAGTTAGGAGGAAAACAGCACCTAACTCTAGAAGATGAAGTGGTACATTCTGTCATTTTCAGTCCCATGAGAGCTAGGCTGAGCCTAGTTCAGTACTTGTTGAATGAATGTTGGTGAAGAAGCAGAAAATAGTACCTGTAAGGCACAACAAAGTAAAAGGCAGAAGAAGCTTAAGGGACTGCAGGCAGAGGGCAGACATCTGAGCTCACTGCTCCCAGCCACGGGAAAGCAGACTCTGAAAAGGCAGGTTCAACCAGCATGCAGCAAGTTAGAGACACAGCAGACCTTAGAAAATCAGGCAAACATGGATGCGGAAATGAAAAGGCTAAGTGGCAAACACCAGCTGAGAAGTTCAAGGCCCATGCTGGCTCATCTTACAGCATTAGGTGCCACACTGGCTTGGGCCACTGCCCCTTCTCCGCCTTCAGCAACACCTTCTAAGGCGCAGGAGGAAGTGCATTTGGAATAAGACTACCGAGGCTTCCCCCAGAGTGCCTGAGGCCTGCAGTGTTTCATCTCCTTTGGGATGAAGCCACCTTTCAAAACCACTATCTAAGGCAAGTGGTTTCCAGAGCTGTGGCTCCGCTCTCAGGAGGGGACTCAGTCCCGCAGCCCAGGTGTTTGGCTGCACTTTCTGGTCCTCTTGAGCGGCTCCTGTCCACCAGCTCTGGCCGGACGGGGCCCTGACCTTCCGGGCCCCACCTCGTCCCCAGCCACGCCGCAGCCAGAGCGAAGTGAGAGAACGCGGGGTGCCGCGGCCCCCGCCCACATGCAGGCCGGGACCCGGGCGGCGTGGTCGGCGCTGGGGACGGACTCCGCCCGGCTGCAACTCTAAATGGCCAGCGGGCCCCGGGCCCGCCAGGCGGGGAAGCTGGCGGGACAGCAGAGCTTCTGAAGCTAGCCCCTGGCCACAGTGGGCAGGAGGAGAGGATAAGGAACCTCCACGCTCCTGCCCGGTGCACCCGCGCCTAAAGCACCAGCTCGCCCCTGCCCGCCGCTTGCCGGCGTCTCGAGTTTCCCATTGATGTGAAGGCGGAGGGAAGGCAGGTCGTGAGGGCGCCAGGGCGCGCGCACTCGTGCACGCCGCGTGTGTAATCCTCCGGCGCCAGGGAGCCCCCAGGGCCTCACCGTTCACCCCTGGGATCACCAGCCACTACCGGTCCCTGGATGCGCCAGGTTTGCCTTTTACCGAGCCTGCCTGTAGGAGAGGTCAAGAGAAGGAACGTGGCTACCGCAGTTCTGTCGACAAGGAAGCAGAAGCGAGATGATGAACACACACTCCCCTGTTAAATATTGCAAGGTGACACAGAATCGCCTCCCACTCAAGGGTTTTCAAAAGATCTGGCGGAGAGAATACAGTAAACAAGCAAGATGTTTTCCCCGATAAGAACTTTTTCTGGGGAAGAAGACTAGCCCAACCAAGGGAGATTTTGTTGTTTTAATCAGCGCTTAAACTCCAATCAGCCGCTTCTCACGGAATTAGAAGTGTGTCCAAAGGCGTTACCATGAAACAGAAACTTAATAATGGCGTGGTTCCACTAACTCTGTTTCATTCATTTTTATTGCTGTTTTCATTGTCCCTTCCTCTTCCCCCTCCCTCCCTCCCGCGTCTCAGTCTCAACCGGAAAGGGGTCGGCAAATGGAGGAATGGGGCTGGAGTGCCAGAGACAGGAGGGCAGGGAAGTGGAGAGCTGCAAGGAGAAAGGAAGGACACGAGGGATGGGGACAGGGCGCGGACCAGAGTCGAGGGCGGCGGGCAGCAGAGGGTTAAGGGCGCCGGGAGTCCTCCCCGCACTGCCTTTCACACTTGGCTGCTGGGAGGCCAAGCCAGAAAACCCAAACCTAAAGGAAAACGAGGAGGCGACTAGCCCAGGTAGGAAAATCTGGACCGTGCCATCTCTCCCGCCGTCTTTGTCGCGCAGACACCTACTCCAAGATCACATATATGTTCTGTGTTATATAATCTATATGAAAGATGCATGCATGGCCGCGATTCACCCAGGGGCACCCACAGCCCCGCACGCTTCCTGCAGCTCCAGTGTCTGCTGTACCCCGGAGACCCGGGAATTTTGGTAGCCACTCGCACGGCTGGCAATTCATCGCTCCATTCACGCCCGAACAGGGAGTACCGACATTAAGGAAAACCAGAAAGCCACGCAGGGCTCCTGGGAGCAGGATCACGCCAAAGCATCACCTACCAGTTTTCTTGCATCCACTGGATGGCTTCATTCTCGTTGAATTGCTTTTCGAATTCGTATTCTTGTAAAGTCAACACTGACATGTTCATTGGGGCTGATCCTCGGAGAGTCGCTACGTGTTCTCTATACAAAATAAAATAATCTGTAAAGCGCTTGATTTCGAGGGCTCGCCTGTCTGCTTCCCCCACCCACCCCCCTGCGTCTTCCCCGGGCCGCTCAGGCTCAGGCTCGCTCGCTCTCCCAGCCTTTCTCAGCTACATCCAGGGCTGAGCATTGCCTGTGCCTCCGCTCGCTGCTCCAAGGGCTTGGGTTCTCCTCCTCCTGGCGTCCGCAACCACCGTAGGAGGAAATGAATGCCTTGCGGTCTTAGTGCCCGCACGTTTGTCCATCACCCCTTTTACTCGTCTACAGGGAAATCTCCTCCCCCTCATGCGACCGGAAAAAGTAACCCTTTGTGTGGAAGAGCTAGCCCGAACCAGATTTCTCCAATCCCCGGCTGGCGGAGGAGGGTTTGGGGTGGGGGGAAGAGCTTCAGTTCACCTTCTGGAGAAGGAGGAGAGAGGAAATGGCCTCGAGGTTATCTACTATCCCTAATCCCAAATTCGTGGACCGCCTCGCCCTGGTTTTGAATTAAGTTTCAGCATGTGGGGCACAGCCCAGAGGCGCGTGGACCAGCGAGCTGGGCGAGTAGGCGATTGGGAAATCGTAAAACCTGCTGGCCCTCTCGCAAGCTAACTCTGGACAAATTTTGCTGGGATAACACCTAAAGGGAGAGGACTTCCACCTCTCTCTCTAGCACTGTCCCCTTAGGGCTTTCACCTACACACCTTTTCCTGAGCTCTAGTTACGATTCGAGCTAACCAGGGGCCAGATTGGCCAAAGGAGCTAAACTCTGGCAAGCTGGAGATGCTGAGGATGAGGATGGTAGAAAGTCGAGAGCTGCGGGTAGCCGGAAGAGGGAGAAAGGTCAGGGACCTGGGTTAGAAAGGGTTTTGCTAGAGGGGGAGAATTAATGAACTGAGACAAAGGGGCGGGGGAGGGAGGGGGGAGTTAGCAGATAGTAGAACTGGACCAACTGGTCCAATGCAAACAACTTTTATGTGTATGCATGACTAATTTTGCTTTATTTGTTGTATGTGGAGGTGGAAGAAAATAATGTTTGAGAAGAGGGTTAAGTAGAATGTCGACCCCTACTGAGCCCCCAGCCTTATAGCAACGTTCTCCCTGTTTTAAACCTGGGCTTCCGAACACATGTGTCTTTTTTCAGAGTGAAGATGTATTATCTATGATGGACTTGTGGAAAGAAGCTGCGCAGCAACACCAGAGGCTTGCAGTTCAAGCCCACCGGTTTCTCGAGGAAGGATCACTGCCTCTGAAACCTGCTGGAGGGTCAGCTATAGCCATGTATGAGTCGCATCGGATTGGAGGGGCCACCACCACCACAACTCTGTTTTGTGCTCTGCCTACTTCCCCCCCCCCCCAAAAAAAAGAAATATACATTATGGGGCATGGAGATGTCTAGTAATTTTATGTATTAATGTATTTGGAAGCTTCAAAAATAATAAGAAGGAATCATTGGTTTAAAAGGCAGGTGGTCATTAGAACCAAGAAGAAATTTCTTTCTCTTGTCTTAATCTCATATCTCCCAGACAGCCCAAAGGCATACTTCCATTGAAAGTTCTTGGGCACAAAAGCCACTCTGAAATGGGAATTGAAGAAATACCTCTATAAAAGAGGAAAGTCTAAATAAAAGAAAAATAGAAAAGTAAGACTCAAAGCCTCCAACACAGTATCACATAAATCAAAGGGCTAGACTGGTTGATGATTACCAAATTAATTTATAAATTGCCAATCCAAGTCCACAAGTGTGGACTTCGGTCATCTCTGTTAAAGGGGCTTGTCATTCAAGCAACTACCGTCCAAATCTGAGTGAATCTTAAGGTAAGGCCCTGCAGGGCTCCAACACTTGGCAAAATTAGGCCGGAACATGGGTGTGGCCCAAGAGAGACAAAGTTGGAATTTTGTTGGGTTTTGAAATTGATTGTTTTTGTTTGTTATTTTTTTTTACACATAGAACCTGGGCAACTGAGTAATCAATAAATATTTATAAAGCAAAGAAATGGTTAAATAGAGAAAAGTAAAGGCAGGAAATTAGAAAGGAATCTTGACTAGGCAACTTAAGCAAAAGTTTTATTCTATGTGTGTTTTGGATTTGTTGGAAATATTGAGTCTCACATTTGTCTTCAGAAGACTTCTCCAAAATGCTGAAGAGCAAGGATGTCAGTTTAAAGACAAAGATTATTTAGCTGGAAGTAGCTGTCTGGAAAGTAATCTAGCAGAACATAGCAACTGCTAAACCTTCCAGGGAGTTTTTGAAAGCTACAAATTGCATGAAAAGAGATTATTGGCCATCTTTCTCCCTCCCAGCAGCTGATGAATTTGAACCACTTCGGCTTTGAGTTCTTAGTGCCACTCCTTACTCCCTAGGCCACCAGAGCTCCCTGAAGGAAAAATATTGCTTCTTTAAACTGACATCCTTCATTGAGAAGGTGACTTTCAACAGACAGCCCAAAGACAAAGAGCCAGCCACCTGGTGGCAGTGTATAACAAAAAAGGCAAAGCAAGTACAAAAGTCCTGAAGTAAAGAATGAGCTCTCAGGATGAAGGACAAAAGTCTTAGGCGATGATAGGGCACAGCTAAGAGGTAACTGATTAAAAAAAATTAAAAAATAATTGTTGGTGCTGTTATGTGCCATCGCGTCATTTGTGACTCATAGCAACCCTATGTACAAGAGCCCTAAATGCAGTTCTATCCTGTGCCAACCTCGCTGTCTCAAACAGATTCATTCCCACCACTCCATTCACAGAATCCGCCCATCTCATTGAGGGTCTTCCTCTCCTGTGCCGTCCCTCCACTCTCCCAGAGATGATGTCCCTTTCCAAGGACCAGTCCCTCCTTGCAACATGCCCAAAGTATGTCAGATGAAGCTTCAGAACCCTCTCCAGAACAAACCTGTTTGTTCTCCTGGCTGTACATGGTATATTCAACACTATTCTCCAGCACCACAGCTAAAAGGCATCAATTCTCTTTCTGTCATCCCTATTCACTGTCCAACTCTCCAATGCATAGCACGTAATTGCAAAGACTATAGCCTGGATCAGGCGCACCTTAGTCTCCAGCCTGACGTCATTGCATTTCCGTACTCTTGAGAGGTCCCTCACAGCTGACTTTCCCAATACAATTCATCTCTTGATTTCCTGGCTGCTGTTACCAAGACTGTGGAGCCAAGTAAACAAAAACTTTAACTATCTCAATCTCTTCACCATCCATACTGATGCGGCCAATTGGCCCAGTGGTGAGAATCTTTGTTTTCTTGATGTTAAGTTTCAATCCACACTGTCCTTGACCTTCTGCAGCAAGTGCTTCAGGTCCTCCTCAGTTTCAGCAAGGAGGGTTGTGTCATTTGCATAACGCAGGTTGTTGATGATTCTTACACCAATCTTGATGCCACATTCCTCCTTGTACAGCCCAGCATCTCAGATGATCTGTTCTGCATACAGATTGAAAAGGTATGGAGACAAAATACATCCCTGACGGACCCCTTTCTTGATTTTGAACCATCCAGTGTCTCCCTGCTCTGTTCTGACGACTGTCTCTTGGTCCAAGGATAGGTTTCGCATTAGCACAATCAAATGTTCTGGGATTCCCATTCTTCTCAGAGTCAGCAATAGCTTGTTGTGATCCACACAGTCAAAAGCCTTTGCATAGTCAATGAAGCACAGATAGACATTCTTCTGGTATTCTCTACTTTCTGCCAAGATCCATCTTACATTAGCTATGTGTAGGTGTCTTCCAGTCTACTCAGACTCACAGCAGCCCTACATATGACGAAAGGACTCCCTATCTGATCCTACCCTGTTGTGACATACTCTAAAGTCCTAAACCAAGTTGCAGCCATTGTGCCAGTCCATCTCATTGAGGACTTCTTTTCATTTGCCCTCCATTTCCCCAAGCGTTTCTCCAGTGATTGGCCCCTCCTAAATAACACGTCCAAACTATGTGAGAAGTCTCACAAGCCTTACTTTGAAAGGGTTTTTTGGATACACTTCTTTCAAGGTATATTTGTTTCTTCCTTTAGCAATCTGTGTTATATTCTATAATTTCCCCCTCCAAACTCACCATTCAAATGCATCAATTCTTCTTCAGTAATTTTCATTGTCCACGTGTGCATGGGTGATTAAAAATACCATGTTTGGGGTCAGCTGCACGTTAGTCTTTATAGTGATATTATTGCTTTGTTGAGTTCTTTAAACAAGTCGTTGGCAAAAGATTTGTCCACTGCTATGCATTCTTTAATTTCTTGACTGCTGCCTCATGTTATTGTGTTGTTATGTGCTGCCGAGTCACTTGTGACTCATAGCTACCCTATGTACAACAGCCCTGAAACCTCCTCTGTTGCAGACCGAGGGTCCCAAAGAATAGAATAATTTTATAATTATTAATAAAGAGACAAACAGCCAGGAATGAGATAAAGCAGAGAGCATAAAACAGAGGGTCAGCAGTTCTCGACTGAAGCCCCCAAGTCATGTTTCTCTGAGTATTTATTTAGAATCATAAGATAATAAAAGTAAAATCACAAGTACAAAACAAAGGATAATGGTGAAGTCTTTTACAGATAAGGCCAAGTTCCTCTTTATGTTAATCTCAAGAGGGAGGGGTTCATTTGACACAAACTAAGAACAATGTTAACTCCTAGGGAACGCCCCATTGCCACAAGGTGGCCTTCAGTTTGTATCAGGCTTCCCTCATTTCCCGAAACAGCATTTGGTCTATTATTATTAAATTTGATATTCAACTTCCCTTACTCCTCTATCCTGCGCCAACTTTACTGTCTCAGACACAACTACCCTCATTACCCCAGTCACTGTATCAATCCATCTGATTGATGGTCTTTCTCCTTCCAAGCATGATGTCCCCCTCCAAGGACCAGTCAGTCCTTCCTTGCAACATGCCCAAAGCATGTCAGATGACCCATAGGGCATTAATTACAGTAAATAAAGTCTGTGACAATATCAATCTTTTCTTCAT